GAAGTTCAATTAAGCGTCGTAAAATGTAATTAATCAAAAATTATGACATTGTTTACCCAGTTATGACAGTTATCAACATGCAGGTCTAAAAACTGGTTAAAAATAGCAATACTACGTTTACTCATAGCTTTGATCATTCACCAGAAGGAGAGGAACATGAAATTTTAATCAATAAGAATGTTAGATTTAGTCCTCTGTGTTGACCATTGATTGGTCATCGTGGGGTTCGAAAGAAAAATAAGTGAGTGGGGAATTCGGAACCTTTGAGGGAGGTATATTTTGCATGTACTGTAATAATGCTATAAAAAGAACTACAGGAAGTTGAACACGGTTGCGAGGGGAACCCAACCCAATATAATTATTTATGCCTATCCTATTTTGTTGTCCTTTGTTTCAATATGTATGTGTCTTTATTTTGTTGCTCATTGTTGTAATATGAATGTTTCAATATTTTCGTTTTAAATAGAATTTATACGAATATTTAAACATATCCTTCTGGATCTGAACGCAAAGTTATATTTGTAATTATCTGTAAGTAGCATTAGCAATCGTATGATATTGTAAGTAGTGTAAGTATTAGTATCGTAAGTAGAATAAGTTATCGTATTGTATTGTAGAGTAAGCTGTGCAAGTTGTAGTACTGTAAGTAGCATCTGTAATCGTATCGTATTGTAAGCAGTGTAAGTAGTGTAAGTAGTTTTGTTAGATCTGTAGGGGACTTTAGCAGTTGTATTACTGTTGCAAATTGTGTAAGTAGCCGTACCAGTGTAGTAAGTAGAGTGAATCACAATTAAAATGTTAACAAAAAAGCTCTCCAAGAAAAATTAACAAATAAATTAATAAAGATATTTGCTTAGAGGGGTCCAGGTTAAGCCAAAATATACCAACAATATGGCGGGAGCGACGGGAAATCAGTAAGCTGAAACACAGCTAGCACAACTTTCAAACGAGCTTCTCTGTACATACAGTAGCACTCAGGTTATACAGCAGTGGAAATGTAAGGATTTGAATCGGAAAAACGGTTATATTCTTAAGCTTAAATTAAAAGATGCGGCCGGTATGGATAAAGATCAAGGCACTGTGTGTCTCCTTGGTTCCCGTGAGGATTTTAGTTTGATTTATGGCAATTTAGGTGATTTTTAGCTTCACATTTATGAAGAGGACAAAGCAGTGGAGCTAAAAATCACCTATTTAGCCCTTTCCACGTTTTTTTCTTTTTATTATTTGCATTACAATGTAATCTAAAATGTCTCAGATATCCTTAAGACCTAAATGATTGAGTTATTTGGGGTCAAGTTATGCCGTTCATAAATGATCGTTTTAATATATCACAAAAATACGTCTATGTGCGAGTTCTTTAACTTCTACTCTCGGGAGAAGACGATTAATACGTTTAGTGGAAACAAAGGTTATGTAATTACGCTAATTAGAAACAACGTTGAAGAGAAAAAACCTAATTTTTATGCCCAATTTATAAGACTTATTAGATTATTCAAATATGGGCAAAACTGTATCCTTTGGTGAAAAATTACAGCCAAATTTGCACTTTGCTATCGTGTTATAAGCGTCATTGCTAAAAATTAACCGACAACCGTCAAATGACCTAAGATTTAACCGTCGACCGTCCAAACGGCTCAATATAGACCGTCGGCCGTCGAAGGGACGCTTCCCCCACTCCCCTATTGAGAGTTTGAGACCCTCTTGAAACCAGTAACTTTGAATTCACTAAAAGGCATAGAAATAGTTCCAAGTTAAAGTAATCAGCCACTTAATTCAAATGAGGATGCCAGTTTATCACCAGAGTCTCCTATCAACCAACAGGCAGACAGCTTTAGCGCGAGTGACACTGACTCTGAAGGAGAGGAAGACAGCTTCTCTTGAAACAACACTGAGCATGATCCGCATGATCAGCAGGGCCCCACTGAAAACCGCCAAGGTGAGTGGACCCCCTGGATAAATATATTTATTATTATTATTACTGATGAATCTGCTATGGCCAAGGAATCTTCGGTTTCTTTGATGAGCCATGATCCGAATGATCTTGGATTATCGATGCTGATCCAAATAATCCAAAGACGAACGCACCCATAGTTTCGGAACAATGTGAATCTCATAGAATTCATTGTCGACACTCGATCACAATCACTTCCTGGCAACATATTAGTCGAGCAGTCTTCCACATATCTTCTATTTTAATGACCGGAATTTGTAATTGTGGATTTTTCAGCGTTTTTACTCTACTTATGTTCTTCCTGGAGATAAACAAAGCATGTTCCTCGGATGAAAGAATACTCTATTAAGAATATTCGCCAAGAATTTGAATTCATTTTTCCTTCATACAGTTTAGGGCTCGGTTGTATACAAAGTTCCGCCTTGCACGACTATAAACCTTTACCTTAGACATAGAGTTTTCACAGTCATTCATTCATTCTTTCATTGGTCGAATAAACGTTGTCGGCGATTTTCATTGGTCTAGAGCACGTAAACAGCACATGTCCCAAAAAGAGAGAACCGATTACGGCATTATCACTTTAAACTGGGAAACAGTCTAAAGGCGAGTTCAAGGTAAAATCAGAAAAACGGCGAGTGCAAGAGCCTGGTAAAAGGTAAGGACAGTTACTCAAGATCATGGCGTACTTAAGATATAATTGGAAATTTCAGCATTTCTCTATCTCTCTCATATGGTGGTTGTGTAAAACGAATGGCGTAAATCGCGAGAGTGTAAATTCTATCCCTTTTCGACACTAAGGTTTCCTATTCTTAGATCTTCAGCTTTCATTAGATCGACATAATTTCGTGATGTTTGAGATGAGCATACTACAACTCTAAACGACAAAAAGGTATCGACGTCCTGTTGGAAATGCATTCACGCTACCTGACATTATATTCTACAAGCCCAAGATATTTGTTACTCTCACATAAACTTGTCAATTTTAATTATATATCGAAATAATTAGTTCACATTTTGCAAAATGAGAACTAGTTAGTTCGATATATAATTAAAATTATTAAGTTGATATTGCAAGGCACAAAATAAAGCAATATGACACGACAGCAGGGCGCTTCGAAATTCAATCTAATGCATTTCACTTTGAATCTACAAACAGAGCAAATAATCCAAGGACGAGATAAAAATTTCAATGTTAATATTAGTATAGCGCTTATTGAGAGAAAGTAATGGCTGTTACACTAATTACAGGTGGGAGTTTTCTTTTAGTCTCTGTACCTCCTGGTTGTATGAGAATTTTCTCAATAATTCGCAAAATAACCAAAATTCAATGAAGCGCCATAAAATGTATTAGACAGAAATTATGACATTGTTTACCCAGTTATGAACATGCATGTCTTAAAACTGGTTGAAAAGAGGAATATTACGTTTACCTATAGCTTTTCTCATGCTCCAGGAAGAGAGGAACTTGTAATTTTATTCAACAAGAATGCTAAATTTAGTCCTCTGTGTTGACCATTGATTGGTCTCTGTGTGGTCAGAAAGAAAACAAAGTGAATGGGAAGTTCGGAACCTTTGTGGGAGGTTATATATTGCATGTACTGTAATAATGCAATGAAAAGCTACAGGAACTTCAACAAAGTTACCAAGGAAACATGTCACATTCACAACACAATGTACAGAGAGAGGGAGAGGAGTGCTTAAACTAGGGAACTTTTACATTTTGAGTTCTTGTGCCGGTGAATGGTTTATAAATGAAACATTCTGGTCCTTGATGGCTTAATCACTGCAAAGCAGTAAAGTCCTAATAACACAGACACATATTGAAGTTTGGAGAAGTTCTCAAGCGGGCCTTGAAAGCTGTCGGCTTCCGACCTTTGCAGTCTAGCTTGGTAAGGGATAGCTGCCTTTAGAAACCGCCAAGCCAAAGCCTCTTAACTAACTCTAGTAGACAGCGATGCCGAACCGAGTTCCAGAGTGAGCTCACACCCCGAAGCCGCCTGATTTTATTGTTAAAATTTTAACAGGAAGAGAACAACAATCGTTGCAACATTGTCGCTAGTGGAACTGTACCGTAGATGTGTGCCTTCCATCCCTATCAGATATGTTATGTAGTTGCCATAAAACCAGTCACTTCATTTTCACTATAAGAAGTGTACTTGGTGCTATCCTAGTGTATTGCATTTTGATGTAAAAGCCTGTAGTGCTTTTATATTAGAAATAGAAATGTAATCTGTTTGCTTAATACAAATTTCAGAGGAAGTTTAATTTGGTTTGACAAGAGTGTCATGAGATTTTAATTTGATCTAACAAAAGTGTCTCGTTAGTTTTGTGTGATAGACTTCCCTTTGCTGTAGTTTTGATGGATAAATGCGTCATGTGAAAAGGAGAGTAAAACGGAAGATGTGGTGGTTGCCATCACTTCGCTCCTGTTAGATGTCCATTCAGTGGTAACCTAGATCATGGTCGTAGTTCCTTGAAAACAATATTGACTTTTCTACTTCGCTTTTATTATTGATTGATTGATTGATTAATTGATTGATTGATTAATTGATTGATTGATTGATTGATTGATTTTTATTTTTATTCTTTTAAATTTATTATTATTATTATTATTATTATTATTATTTTTTTTTTGCATTTTGACTCCGGGTTACGGGTGCTGGTCGACGAAACTATTTGGATAGTTCCCTCGTCAACTTAGACATTTCCCGAGTAAAAGAAAAAACAAGAAAACATTTGTCACGATTCACTGGGATAGGTTGAATGACTGTTTAAATTTAGGCGACGCATCAAATATATTACATAATCATTAATAATAGTTATTATTTCTATTTTGCATTAATGCAATTTGGATCCTACGTGAGTGACTCATACCGAGAACGGAAATCATCCTTGTCTCTGTTTCGACAGATCCATGCAATGTATCCAGATACGTATGTACGTACATAACCATTTAATTTAAAGTATTTTCAAGAAAGTATAAAGTCTCTTGTTTTTGTCTTTCAGTGTTCAACGATCATGGTTGTTCAGTGCTGCTTCATCAGTTTGACAATTTTTGTCCTTGCAGGTACGACATTATCTAATCGTTCATTGCAAAACCAAGAAACAATACCTAAATTATGTTAAAGAAAAAGAGCGACTCGCTTTTTTTTTTTTTTTTTTTTTTTGTTGACGTTTTTAAGTAATAAATAAATTGTATATTATAAAAATATAAGCCATTATAAGAAGTACTAGTCATGCAGGCAGGTAATAAAAATGTTGTCCATGTGAATTTTTAGCGAACAATTGAAATCGGAAAGACCATGGTTTGCGTCAAATCCCTGAGAAGCCAAAATTCCTTTCAGGCTTTGTTGGGACCTTTCAGAGTTTCTTTGTAACTTTTATGCCTCTTTATTTTCTTGCAGTGTACATCACAATTTAATTCACTTCACAAATTGAAAAGAAAATATGCCAAATTTCAGAGATTGAAGAATTTGCACACGGTATTTACACAATTTCAATTTAACTTTTAATTTCTTTTTTTTTTTTTTTTCACAGTTCATGGATATCCGGAAGGTAAATGTTGATGTCAATAACCCTCGTTAGCCTGGGTGTTTTTCGTCAGCTTTTAAAATTATTTCTTTTCCTTGGAGACCTGGGCGGGTAGTCACCCCCTCCTCGCTCCCAAGCTGGAACCTAAAATGTTTTTCCTTGTTTTCAGCGAGTGCTGTTGATGGCGGTTATTCTGATTGGAGTAAGTTTTCAGAATGCAACGCCTCTTGTGGACGTGGTGTGAAGATTCGCAAGCGATCTTGTAACAGTCCTGAACCTACGAACGGACGGAAAGATTGCAGTGATCTGGGACCAGCCATGGAATCCGAAGCATGCAACTCATTTCCCTGCCGTATGTTGGATTTTTTTTTTCTCAGCAGTTTCCGTGATGATTTAAGTCACTATAGATTTTTTTATTTGTGCATAATTTTGTTCATATTCATGCAAGTGGTTTATTGCAGATTCCTTGACTTTTCTTTAAAATTTAGCCTGTAACAAAAACGTAAGTTCTAGAGCAGTCCCTTTCTTAACGACGAAAGCTTTAAATTGCATTGCGCATGCTTCCATATTTTCTGGCATCGTTTTCCAACCATTTTCAATCTGTAAGCTAAACCTGATTATAACTGTGTTTACTTAAGTATTTCCTTAAATGGTTTGCCCCTACTCTATCTTAGATTCTTTCTATTTTCACCTTTTAGCCGTCAATGGTGGTTACTCTCAATGGTCAAATTTTACGGCGTGCACTGCAACCTGTGGAGGAGGACTGCAGAGCCGTACACGAACTTGTACTAATCCCCTGCCGTGTTGTGGAGGGATAAACTGTGAACATCTTGGACCAAGCGAGGAGACAAAGGAGTGCGGCACATGCCGTTGTGGTTAGTGTAAATGATGTGTTTTGACTAAGGGCTGACTCCGGGGTCAGATTACGTTCGCTTCTAAAATGTAACCACCCGGTAAAACTGCTTGTAGACTATCACTATCTATTACTGACCAAGCTTAAGTTAGTTCCTAAGCCGGGTTCCAATTTGGATGGGATTCCAGTAGATCAGTTTAACAAATTGACGTCAGTTTTTCATGTGTCTCTCCTGTTATTGATCATGAATTTCGTCATAACATTGTCAAAGTAGCTGACTACTTTGACAATGTTGTGACTAAATTCATTGCCAATAACAGGACAGAGGCATTAAAAATTGACTTCAATTTGTTTTTTACGATAACAAATCGTCTAATTGTCCGCTCTCGCTCGTTGACGCGTCGCATAAATCAAGTTATAAATGCATGTGTCTGTCCGCTTATTGACAATGAAAATTAGCCAATGAGCGCGCAAGCATTTCTGCAGTTATCGTAAAAAGCTCAATTGTCTGTCTACGTCACTGTCATGGTGACAATGTTGGCTCATCAGAGATACATATACGGCTTTCTCATACGCTTACTCACAAGAGATGGTCGCTCATGATCAAAGAAGTGTTTTTGGTCCACATTAGAACTAAGCGCTAGACTTGGGTCGAGAAAGGTGTGAAGATATTGTAGTTTAGCCAATCATTAGAATAAAATCTGGTTCAAAAACACACTGAACTAGAGCTCTTCCACTTGAAATACTACATTATAATTATTTTTGTCACTCGAGATCTTGACGCTAAACTTTCAATTTATTTTCTTACTCCAGAGGTTGATGGTGGATGGAGCGAATGGTGCACTTTTACGCCGTGTAGTGTAACTTGTGGGGGAGGGGTACGGTACCGTAACAGAACTTGTACTAATCCATCACCACAAAGTGGAGGCCAAGACTGTCTGGGTCCAGCTTCTGAATCACAGAAATGCAACACAGAGTCATGCCGTGAGTATTTGATTTCATGGGATTTTCTCCAATCCAACCAGGTCGTGTTAGTGTAAGATACATTACCTCATCTCTCTTCTTGGATTAATTTATCACGAAACCACCAGGAACAAACTGCTATATAGTGACACTGACGTATTTCTCTAGAAAATGCATTTGAGATGCAGCTGACTCTGATACTTTGCTACTGCCATATATTATTGCTAAAGGAGATCTTATGTGAGATTCTAGGGATCTTTGGATCCGGTTCTATAAGAGGTTTTAAATTACGTGAAAGGAGTCAGAGGCGCGGAGTACCCCATGGCGAGTATAAACCATCACTGCATGTGGCCATTGCATTGTGTCCTTAGACAAGACAGAGAACTGTCATGGACAATTTTGCAGATCTTCTGAGGGCAAGCCTACAATAGACTATCATCCCACACAGGTTGAAGGGCAATACTCCTATCCTCTTCATGAAGGATTCCAGAGTACTCGTGCTTGCTTGGTGAGCAACACTTAACCTTTCTTACTTTGTCTAAATTTTTAAGATGACGGTAACTACACTAAGTGGTCTGAATGGTCTGACTGCAGTGTAATATGTGGAGGTGGAGTCCAAAAGCGTGCAAGAACCTGCACCAATCCCCCTCCTAGAGAAGACGGAAGAAACTGCGAGGAGCTGTCATTAGGACCTGCTAACGAGAGTCAAGAATGCAATCCGACCCCATGCCGTAAGACAACTTATTCATGATATTTAAAATTTGGAATACTACAGCTGTGCTCTTATGTAATTGAATTACTTTCTTTAAAATACGACTTTTATATCTTTGTTGTATTGCACAAACCTTAACATACACTAGTGGTAATGGTGTTTTTATATTTTGAGAACGTTCTACCAGTGATTTAAATTCCAAATCACATTAATTCAAGTCTATAAGCTGGAATTTTCTAACCAAATTCGATCAGATGCGAAAATTGATTGTTATCCTTACTTGTTGAAGTCCCCATTTCATAAGGTAACTTGCGAATTTTTCTCGCCTTTAAACCGTTACTGGTCAAAATAAAACTGAGCAAAAGAATATATTCGTCCACATTTTCAACTCTCGTAGAGAAATGTAATTACAAAGTTGCTTTACGTGCGTTTGTATTTCCTTAGCGATCGATGGTAACTATACAGAATGGACTGAGTGGTCTGATTGCAGTGCATTTTGTGGTGGAGGCTTGCAAATACGATTACGAAATTGCACCAACCCCCCTCCACAGTACGATGGGAAGAACTGCGAAAAACTGGGACCAGCTGATCAGAAACAAGAATGCAACTCAGATTCTTGCCGTAAGTTTTTAGTCTTTCAGTTCAAATGTAACCATTTACTCTCAGAAAATTATCAACGGTAGATTAGCCATTCTTAAATTTTTGTCTCTATCAAACACTGTCTAATTTAAAATTACTGAAAGTTCTTTACCACATATACCCACTTTTGGGATTTCCTTAGCAATCGACGGTAACTACACCGAATGGAGTGAGTGGACTGATTGCAGTATAACCTGTGGAGGGGGTTCCCAGTCGCGATCAAGAAAATGTACCAACCCCCCTCCACAGTACGGTGGGAAAAACTGCGACGAACTGGGACCGACTAATCAGACACAAGAATGCAACCCAGATCCTTGCCGTGAGTAACTGTGATTTTCTGTAATTACATGGGCGTGCTATAATTTGGACGCTTACCAAAATCACAAAAGTAATTAACTTGAAATGTTTGAAAATGCTGGACATAACCATGGGACTTGGCTGGTGGCGATATATTATCCTTATGCAACCATTAGAATAATTGACTTCACTGAATTTCAATTCAAAGCATGCTTTGCCCACTAAGGCCATTGTTACTTAAAGGTCCAAATATTGTTTATCGGTTGATAAATTTTAGAGAAGTTTACAGAATGCTTCATTATGGAATTGGGAATCGCGCCGGCATACGGACCTCTTGTTCATTGTTGTCCCTAAAGCGTTTGGAAACTATCAATGTTGTTCAGCAATGGCAGAAAATTAACAACTTTTTGTTTCTTTGTTTTCTTTTTTTTTCCGGGTAGCAATCGATGGCAATTACACGGAGTGGTCCGAATGGTCGGACTGCAGTTTAACTTGTGGTGGAGGATTGAAAACAAGGGCAAGACAATGCACCAGCCCTCCTCCACAATATGGAGGAAAAACCTGTGAGAGACTGGGGCGCGCTAATGAAACTCTCTCATGCAGCAAGGGAAAATGCCGTGAGTTTTTACTTCCGCTCTAACGGGTACTTCTAGGGCTTTATGTCACTTATATCAATATATAACCTAAATGACGTCTGTTGTACGCTATTCTGTCTAAGGTGTAAAAACGTAGGAATAGCACGCGCGCATGCGCACGTGATGTTAACAGCAAGCCAATGAGGCTGTAGGAGAAGTTTTATACATGAAGCCGATGTCGATGGATTACCTTCAGTTGATGATTGACAGCTAGTACCATCATGAACAAGCAGTTTATAGTTCCTGGCACTTGACACTATAAATAAATCTCCTCATACAGACGAACAAGGAGCAAAAGTACAGAGAATTAATTTCCTATTTCGACTTTCATTTCACAGCGATCGATGGTAACTACACTGAATGGTCGGAGTGGTCTGACTGCAGTGTCACATGTGGAGGAGGAAAGCAGAAACGTTCAAGAACTTGCACCAATCCACATCCAAAACACGGCGGAAAGAATTGCGACGAGCTGGGAACGGCTAACGCGACTCAGTAATGTAACCCAGACCCCTGCCGTACGTGCCTTATGTTTAGTTTCACTTTTAAAAAATTAATGATACTTCAACTGTCAACAAGACTTGTAAACAACAACTACAAAGCAAACACACATTTTCATTTTTATCCGACCAATTTTCTTTGTTTCCAAAATTGTTCTGTTTTGCAATAGTGCCAAATCTATGTTCTCATATCTCGAGAAACATATGCAAAATTGGTCAAATTAGATACAAGAGGATAGGTTGTTGTATCAGCACTGACCTCAGTGGCTAAAGTTTCACTCTGAAAAAGGAAACTTTAGTTAAATCGTAACAAGGATAACACAACACAGTTTTCGTGAGTAATTTTTGTAATAATAATGTTGCAGCAACTGATGGTAATTATACAGAATGGACTACGTGGTCCGACTGTGATGTAACGTGTGGAGGAGGGGTCCAGTCCCGATCAAGAAAATGCACCAACCCAGCTCCACAACACGGTGGAAAGAGCTGCGAGGATCTGGGACCAGCCAATCAAACACTCAAATGTAACACAAGCCCCTGCCGTGAGTACACATCTTTAGTCCACATACAATGCTATAGAATCGATATAGAAAAAACAGTGGCCAACGCAATGAATGCAGTACACGAGGTTGTAACACCTTCGGGTATACAACGGCTTTCTTGTATTCTGATTGGCTGTGTTTTTTATGGTATGGTACATGTCCAGTGATTGCCAGTTACCGCTTCTCAAGATTATGTTCCTTATGTGATGTTAAGCTATCATTGATCTTTCTTAGCGATCGATGGTAACTACACTGAATGGTCGAAGTGGTCTGACTGCAGTGTCACATGTGGGGGAGGAAAGCAGAAACGTTCAAGAAACTGCACCAATCCACCTCCAAAACACGGAGGAAAGAATTGCGACGATCTGGGTCCTGATTCAGAGTCTCTGGAATGTAACCCAGACCCCTGCCGTGAGTATTTAACTTTTGACACATGAATGATACTTGAACTGCCAACAAGACTTGTAAAGGGGAGAAAGATCGTCATAAGCCAAAAAACGAGTAACTAAAATAAGTCTTGAAACTGTTAGGATGAGAACATTCTTAGAAACAGCTAGAATTGATTGGCAATGAGTGGAAACCTTGTTTGCGTTGTTGTCGTTGTTCCCTGAGGGCTTTAGCGGCAGCCAATTTACTACCTTGAACAAGAAACTCGAGCTCTTTTTGGAAGAAACATACCAACAAAATAGGTCGAAATACTAGCGGGAAAAATTGGGCCTTAGTCCAGTATTAGGCTTGAAGTATTATTATTATTGTTTGTTTGTTTCCTTTGACAACTTGTCTCCAAGGTTAAGGTTTTTCTCTGTAAAGAGAACTTTTCGTTAAATCCACACAGAGATAAAACAACACAAATTTGGTGACTAATTTTATAATTATAATAATAATTTTGCAGCAATTGATGGCAACTATACAGAATGGTCTAAGTGGTCCGACTGTGATGTAACGTGTGGAGGAGGGGTCCAGTCCAGATCACGAAAATGCATCAACCCAGCTCCACAATATCGTGGAAAGAGCTGCGAGGATCTGGGACCAGCCAATCAAACACTCGAATGTAACAAAAGCCCCTGCCGTGAGTGCACATCTTTAGTCCACATAACATTTAAGCAGCTGGGTATTTAACGAATATCTGCGACTCGGTCAGTTGTCAAGATCAGGCAAACTTCATGGGTAAACACAGGTGTTAGTTTCTAATTAAAAGAAGCTGTTGGGTTGCGTTGACTGGCAAGTTTAGCTAAATGACAGCTTATCCGCTTATTGTATTTTCTCAGTATACACACGAGTACATACATACATACATGGTTTATTTGATAAAGCAGGTTGAATTAAGAATTTGCAAGACGTTAAGTCCTGATGTGGACCTGCACTATCTAAAATGATTAATTAATAAAGACCTAGATGATAAATTGAAAATGGGTAAATAAAAAATGATAATTGAAATAAAGAAATATTAATAACAATATATAGTAAATATTAGTAATATTTTAAGTCAAAGATTTGTTGGAAATGCTGCAGGAAGCTTTAGCAAAACTGACAGATTTTAGAATACTCTTATTTTCCTTAAGTTTTCTCTTTACACAAGTGTGTATACCAAGAAAATATTGGGGACAACTAAATGTTCCAAGGTGTACCACGAGAAAGTATTGCGTAATTATTTCATACCATGCGATAGAAAATAGTGGCCATGCAGCACCTTCGAGTATAGAACAGCTTTCCTGTACTTTGATTGGCTGTATTTTCTATGGCATGGTACAAATCCAGTGATTGCTAGTTATACCGATTTTCAAGATTAAGTTCCTTATGTGATGTTAAGCTATCATTGATCTTTCTTAGCCATCGATGGTAACTACACTGAATGGTCGAAGTGGTCTGACTGCAGTGTCACATGTGGAGGAGGAAAACGGAAACGTTCAAGAACCTGCACCAATCCACATCCAAAACACGGCGGAAAGAATTGCGACGACCTGGGCCCTGCTTCAGAGTCTCTGGAATGTAACCCAGACCCCTGTCGTGAGTTAACCTCTTACGTTCGTGTGGTGGGAGACGTCAAATTTGTTATTATGTTTTACATATTAGCACACACATATCATTAGCTCACCGCTGGACTAGAAACGGTGTCAAGAGACCAAGCAACGGGGGCCAAGCAACGCTCGTTAATGCTGGCCGCAGAAGAATCAGTTAACTTTTCTGCGTCAGAAATTTTGTTTCTTTTATATATATAGTGAACATTCACGCTGCCACATACGTACATTCGCCACTTTGGAAACGAGGACAAAATTTAGGGCGTGTCATCTCGCAGTCGCTTGTGGGATCGTGGGGACAAAACAAAAGATGAGAAGTCATGCCGTTGTGTGTTGTGAGACCAGTAATGGTCTCAAAAAGGCCTGTGAGACTTGGTACGTCCCGGATTTCTTCTCATTTCTAAGGTGGTTGGTTATTTTCGAAAAATAACTGGGCCCAGGGGATTCCACCCTCTATTTTCCTTCATTCATTTCTTTCCATGTTTCTTCTCTTATTTGTTTACTTATTTTTTTTTTCATTTATTTCTAGCAATCGATGGTAATTACACGGAGTGGTCTGCATGGTCCGAATGCAATGTAACCTGTGATGGCGGATTACAAACTAGGACGAGGCAATGCACCAACCCTCCTCCACAATACGGTGGCAAGGACTGTGAAGAGCTGGGACCGACTAATGCAACCCAAGAGTGTAATACTCACCCATGTCGTAAGTTTCAGTGTTATTAACGAAACAATGTTCCTTTTGCTTAAAACGTTTGCATTTAACACCACCACTGGGCTTGATTAAGAAGAAAAAAATCGTATATTTTTTTGTCAACGCCAATAAAAACCTTGCATTAGGTTTAGCCAATCACCGAAGTTTCAGCTTCTAAAGTGCAGGTTTTCTTGTGAAATTCGTCTCCATAGAGGCCCAAAATTCGAACATCGTTGCCCCCATTTTGAACAGTATTCAGCAGCTAGGCCGCATTTTCGTGACGTCATTCCGTCCGAGAGATTTCATCCAAATGGCTTCCGACAAGCCTTTTAACTACCACTCTGGGTTATGGCTGCTCTTGAGCCATATTATTTNCGTCATTCCGTCCGAGAGATTTCATCCAAATGGCTTCCGACAAGCCTTTTAACTACCACTCTGGGTTATGGCTGCTCTTGAGCCATATTATTTTGAGCCAAACATGCTCCAAACTCCGAACATGAAAGCATTGAGGATAGTGAAGTGGATAATCGCTTGGAAAAAATAGATTTTGCTGACCTTGTCAAGGATGCCAAGTCAGTTGCAGGTTTTTCTCCATTCCGCCAATTTCGAGTCGGACTGAATGACGTCACATATACACGGCCTGGCTGCCTAGAGAGTTTCAAAATAGCTGCCTCCGAAGTCGCTTCTTTCGAGACGAATTTCCTCAGGATAGTGGGTACTTCAGAGGCTTAAACGTCGGTGAGTGGAAAAGCTGAATGTTTACTTGCTATAGGAGAAAACAACAACAAGTAATTAAGCTTTTCGGAGTGAACTCCTTTAAAAGCCTGTTTTGAGATAGATGCGACCCCCAGCTTGCGCAATCGACCATGCCCTGGTTGTGGAATAGGATAGGTAAAGTTTGCAAATAAAACTCAATCTTTGGTTGTTAGATTCATTGACTGACTGAATGACCGAATGACAGACTAACTGGCTGACGTACGGAAGGATGTACAGACCAGTCGACTGACTGAATGACTGACTGACTGACTGACTGATGACTGACTAAAGGACTGATGGAAGGAAGGAAGGCCGAAGGAAGGACTGACAGACAGAGATATCGACCGATCGACCTATGGACAATCTGACTGACTGACCACAGATGACTTTATTGACTGTCAATAAATGAAAACCATCTAAGATTACTTACTCAAATGTAACGCTAAATCCTACCAATTTTATCTTGATAGCTCCACCTTGCTCAGCTGGTCTTGACATTGGGATCGTGCTCGACAAATCCAGAAGCGTAAATATCCGTAACCTAAAGAAAATAATCGCTTCCCTTGCTGAACTCGTGGATAGGTTTGAGCCGGGCCCCGACAAAGATCATTTTGGTCTGGTAACATTCAATCGCAGAGCCTATACTGAGTTCACGTTCTCAGATGAAACCCTTTACCGCAAAGAAACACTCAAGAAAAAAATCTCAGAGATCCCGTTAACACTGGCCCTTCAAACGCGGACTGACCTGGCTATGAAAGAAGCTCGAGACAACTTGTTTTCACCGAGCGGCGGGGACAGACCGGAAAAACCGAACATCATGATTTTCCTGACGGATGGAAGACCAACAAATCAACCACGGGATTTCGCTACGTTTGCTGCCGAGTTTTACAAAGATAGTAAGGTATTGATTGCCTGAATATACGTTCTTGGGCTCGAACTGACTCAAATTCAAATTCAAATTCAAAATCAATTTAATTTTCTAATTTTCACTATACAGGGCATTTTAGATACTATTTATAGGTAAAAAAGTTAAGTTTCCATGGCCAACCTATAATTCTTTCTTTAAAAACGAGAAAAACACAGTGGTACACGATTCTCAACATACTAAAGGGGTGGTGAATGGTTCTGCAAAAACCATGGGTCTTGCAAAATTTTCTACGAATTTCACAGGTCCCGCAGTCTCGTTTCTTAGCGGTCTTGAATTTCTCTGGGTGTCGACTTTTTTTTTCGAGGTTAGGAAAGTCTCGAAGTCCAATTTGTTTATTGTTATAAGAGATGTTTGAACGTCTTAGAGCACGTCTCGCACTCGCTTTTAAAACACTTTGAAGTCTAGGTCTCGCAAACACATTTGAAAAGTCAAAATGCCTTGGGCTAGTTAAGAGAAACGCTTGTCTCGTCTTCTTTAACCTGAGTATCAGGCCTTTTCTGCCTTTAGAAAAAGAAAAAGAAAAGTCTGATACTCAGCTTACGCGTTCTTGCAAAGGTTCACAACATTGGAGCAAAGCAGATGGAAAACGAGTCCGTTCACTAAACCCTCCTGCACTCTCTCATGATCGGACGATAAAACTTAGACCCCTTCCCTCACTGTTAGTTTGTAAGATCGACTCATCATGCAGGATCTCAATTAAATCAGGGCCGTTTCGTGTTGTTTTGATTGGCAGGTTGCTGGTTTATATACCGTTGCGGTGGGTATTGGAAACCAGATCAAAAGGGAAACCTTGAAAGACATAGCTGGTGAAAATGGAAGTGTCATAGCCATCGAAAGCTTTGATCAGCTAGCGAACGAACTGAGTGAAATTAAAGACAAAGTTTGTGGTAAGTAAGAAACAATAACATATGGGTTGTCGTTTTCGCCCCGAAAGACAGACCAAAGCAGTCTTTAACTGACGAAATTGTGTAGAAAGCTTAAGGTCCGAAATGTGGTAAAGAAGTTAACTTGCCTACCCTTGCATTGGAGACAAGATTCTGTGTTTCGAAGGGTACGAGTTGTCTGAAGACCCGCGGGGAAAGTCCTCCCATATATGGGCCATATTGGTATATGCCGCGAGATAGGGTAGCGTTTTTTTCTTTTTTTTGAGGTCTTGATCCTTAAATAGGGTATCATTTTTCCCTGTTGACATTGTGTTCCCAGTGTGATCCTTAGATAGGGTACCTAAATTTTATCAGGTAAAAATGCAGTGCGTAAATGCCCAGCTAAACAAAACAAGATGATCTGTTAAAACTGAACCTTCGATTAACTTCCATTGCTACAGATACGAAATATAGCTGACCTGTTCCCGCTATTCTTAGGGTGCGTTTCTTTAAGAAAATCCAAGATTGGATTCTTAAATCGGACAACGGATTTTGCGTTTCTTTACTAAACAGATCAATCCAAGATCACTCGAATCGTGGTGCATCAAAGGAACCTAAGAATTCACTCTGGTTAACGGATTTAAGAATCCAATCTTGGATCTTTTTTAAGGAAAGACACCCTTACTTTAATAGAGTGCTATATTTGTTGTGTTTGGGCCTTAACAGGGTATCAAATTTTATCTGCTTCATCCTTAAATGGGGTCAGGTTTTAACACCCTTCGCGGCACACACCTATCCGAAAATTACATAAGTACCCCCCTCCCCCTTCCTCCTCCGGGTCTGAAGGCAACAAATATAACGAGTAATGCTTTACCGTGTTATTATGACCCTAGTCGTTATGTATTTTTCTTCTAACGTAATTTTTTTCTACCTCTTCTCTATTTCAGACTAGTGCTATGGGATTTATCTAAAGAGGGTGTAGAACTCGAAGTAAAGAAGATGAGCTGGCCAGTGATAACATTAGCACTGATTTAGAAGGATCTATATCCGGGATTTTGGAGCAGGAAATACACAATATAAACTGTTTAAATATACCACACAAAGTGGTACTTTGACTAGCTGTACTAGAAAAAATATGGTCAAGAACATGGGGTACAATAAAAATAATACAACTCAGGTGAATTGCACTCGTCGCACAGTAATCTTCTATACATATTAGATGTGTTCGAATCACTTTACCACACTCTGGGTTAACGAACGCTCATAAAAACGTGCAGAAAAGTTCTAACATCTTAAAACCTAGCATACACTATGTCGTTAGGACAGGGACAAATATTGCAAAAATATGGCTTCCCTTGTATTTTATGAGCTGTGTAAGGCATTGTGGTAAAATTTACAGCCGCCATCTATTTTTCCAACGGAGGATTGTGAAGCAGGCCGAGGTTGGAATATCAATTCTTCTACTGATTCACTATAATGCTTGTTCAGAGCTGACTTGATTAAACATTCCAAACATTAAGACTGTAACTCTTTGATTTTCATGCCGCTTGGCTTTATCAGAATTGTATAGAAGCAGTGATAAGATGTTAATTTCAGCAGGAGTAACAGGGGGGGGGGAGAGGTGTACTCGACATCAATGGAAATCTCCCTTATTCTTTCAAACTCCTTTATCGACAGCAAGGTTGTAAGCATCTCAGTTTTTTCTACTCTTTTTTTGTATTCCAGCCCGTTAAATCCCTGCCCTTTCATACAATTTCATCCTAAAATAAATAACTGACAGCATGTTTCTCTGCGCATGCGTTATACACCTCAGAAACAACGAGAATACGAATCAAAAGTTGTTCTCTGTTTCGGGATTCTTTGCGAGGTTAAAATTGATAAAACCGAAGTTTCGGCAACTTTCACTTGCCATCTTGGGAGAAAAATATAAAGTCAATATGGCGGACTGATGGTAAATTGACAAAATGAAATAAAATAAAAACATCAATCCGCCATCAAACTTGCCAAAACGTCGGTTACATCAGTCAATTTTAACCTGGAAAAGAATACCGAAAACAGAGAACAGCTTTTGCTTTTGAAGATTACAGGTGAAAGTTTCATACAGTTAAAGAGAATACGACAGTGAGCTATTCTTGTTTTTGCAAATTTAATTTAGAGCGTTGTCTCAGCTTCTTCGTTTGTTGGCCCTTTTCATATCAAGCAACGCTATTTACGAGAGTTGCATACATGTATCTCTCAAATTTCATCGTGTTTAGGGGTGCATAATTACCTCTTAAGGGAAAGTCACATAATCTGAAATGGTTCATTACCATAAGAAATGTAAGAAATCTATATCCATTTTGCTTCAAGGTAAATCTGAAGCTAAGACGCTTGCGGAGCTGGCGAAAGAAGTCGGCTTCTCGGTTTCGACCGCGAGGGCAACATCGATCGAAATATACTGGTTGTTCTTTACTTAATAATCTTGCATAGCACTAATGATTCATTCGGTTCGTCCGAAACAACAACAAGAGGAAGTTAACCGTTTTCAAACTAACGCTAAATACGAGCTTTATACTGTCCACTATAACACTAAGCCAGTGAACAGACGCTTTTCTTTGCCAAACGGAATCAGTCTAAGTGTGATGTGTAATTCAGTATACACCATTAAGATAGTTTTTCAGGCTATTCTCCTGTACATATTTACCACATTGTATAAATTCCATAGATTGTTCAACTTGAGTTTCGCAGTTGGACAAATCTGTTCGTATGCAGCGTATAATGACTCCGATATGCTGGAAGACGTTTTTTCAAGTACTCATATTCAGTTCAAGAACTATCGCTGACTGGAATTTCCTCTCCGAGGAGATAGTTACTTCTAGTTCCTTAGATTCTTTCAAAACCAATCTGTCAACGTTTTTTAAGTAATTCTTTTAGATACATTTAGTGTTTTTAATTTTCTTTTTTTTCAGTCCTTATGTTGTCATGAGATTTTACCAACTCAACCTAAGTAAATGTATATATTCCACCAAACACAAATATGTAAACTTTAAATTTACACGTACAAATGAAGCACTGACTGGAACAATAAATGTCAGTAAAGCTGGCTGATAATATATGGGTGTTAGCCCTAAAAATTCCTTCTAGATGTTACGAAAAATGTGTCAACTGTTTCGCTGAATCTTCAGGCATTTCCCTTGTAGACATCTTTACTGTGGAGAAGTATCACACATGTTCTTTCCACGACTTGCTTCCGCCCTTCTCCGCAGCAATGATAACGACAGGTTCAATTTATTCTGAAGCAAACATAGACTGAAGCCTTAAATGCCATACTATCATGAAACTTGACAGCTATTTGAGAACACGAAAAAAATTTAGAACATTTAGAAAACATGAGGTTTCTTAAATTTCTCAAGTGTTCTCCAATTTCGGAGTGTTTCCTGACGGACTAGCAGAATACATTGTTTAGGATTTACAAGTTTTATATATGATAAAGATTCAACACGTGCGAGACAAACAGAACAAGCTCTTTATTTTATACTTGCACGCGACGTGCACAACATCTGTTCTGCAGATTGTGGACTTCGAGGTCAATTATATTATCTCATATATGTATTTTTTTAACTTTACTTGGTGCGTTTTCATCAACTATAATTGACTATGAAAACGGAGACAAAGATATTTAAACTCCAATTGATAACAATTCAATTTCAAACCGAATTCGGATGCGATGATGACGGACATATTACCCTCAATTCGTTGTCGGAGAATTGCTTTCGTTCTGATAAACCACACGCGTTTTTGAGGAATGATAATTAATCGTGATTACTACCAAATGTGTATTATGCTTGGCTCAATATTTGAACCGGATCTGAAAATTTCATTTCCTTTCAGAGCGCCATCAGGCTCAGAAGGAAACTGACTTTGGGTTGTAAATTTTCCCTGTGGAAAAGTTGGCTTTCCGCCTGTTAATTCACAACAAGATATCATTAGGAAATGAATGAATACAACAATTGATTAATCCTGATAATTGATTGAATCCAAAGTTAAGATGACATGTAAGTGACCGGGTTTCCTATATCTTTAAGTTGTCCGTTTTGTTCAGAACAATGCGTATTAACCTCATTCGACCACATTCCTTGTCACCTCCTTGCGCCATCTCTTTTAAGGGCAGGCATCCCAAGGAGTTTAGGATGCTGTGGTCTTTCTTCATTCTTATCGTGTAACAATTTGGGAAGAAGAGCTTTCACTATCAAGGAGCCAATATTTTTAATGAACTATCAATCGAATTTAGATCCATAACTTCAAGATTTCTATTTAGCATAAGCTTAAGTGAACATTTTTACTAATTTTGTACGCCTTTTTACCCATTTTTACCTTTTTTACCTCATTTTCACTACAGTTTCTTTTACGGGACCCCTCTGATAACAGAGTGGAATACACTGATGGGTCATCCTGTTTAAATATTCGTCACTATTATTATTATTATTATTATTATTATTATTATTATTATTATTATTATTATTATTATTATTATTATTATTATTAT